TCTGTTTTTGATTGGATATCTCCAGGCTTTCTTGTGAATTGTAGTGGTTTAGCTTTATGGCTGGGTTGGTTCTTCTAACACGGCGTGTTATTTGCTCTCTTTACTTCCTGTTTTCCTCAGGCTTGATGTAAAAGCCAGCAGGAAGTGTCAGAGACGTGCGTGCGTAAAGAGCGTGGCCTGACCTCGACTATCAGAGTCACTGCTCTTCTTTATTCCGTCTCTCATCTGTCTGTGTGCCTCGACCGAGCTGTGCTTTGATCCTGCAGCGAGATGTGATGAGAATAGAGAAGCCTCTTTTAACTCGTTTGTTGTTGTGTCTCTTTACAGGTTCAGGGTGTTTCTAGAGTTTGTGATAATGCCGAACATGTTTTTATTTGTATAAATATGAAATATATATATTTTTTAAATTCATAAAAAATATATATTAAATATAAAATTTTAAAAAGATCATGTAAAAATATATTTAATAAAATAAAAAATGATTAAAAAAATCTAACATGAATCACCAATAATATATGTATTTGTTACAATTAATTGTCATGGAAATACTGTCACAATGCAAAACAATTTTAATTATCTTAAAACTGGCTTCATTTACATTAAACAAAATAGATTTTCTTTCTTTTGATTTTGGGGTGAAATATGGACATGTTTTTGTGAGTTCATCCAGTGGCATTTCAGTGATCAGTGACATTTTGAGCCGTGCAACAAACACAAGCAGCTGCCAGTCACTCAAGCCACACGTCTGCTCTGGATGTTTTCTCGTCCATCACTTTGACTCTATTATGTTTTGTTCTTCACTAGCAGCGTGTGCTTCATCAGCTGTGTGTCAATATCTGCTGCACTCCATGTCAGATTAATTCAGCGGTTCCTGCTCATTAAAGCTGTCGTCAATTTAACATCTCTCTGTTGTTCATTTGCAGTGAAGCCACCCTTTTTGTTTGTAGTATAATATCTCGTTGTTGTTGTTGTTATTACTAGAAATTTACTGTTATCGTTTTAATGACTGATACTGATTTTTGCATATATTCAAGAAATGTATGCATATTTTGTCATTTTATTTTTGTTTTAAATGCATCTAATCATTAGAATTAGGGATGTAACCGTATGAAAATTTCTTATCACGATTATAGTGACCAAAATGATCACGGTATTGTTAAAATGTGCTGGAAATGTTAAAAAAGTACTGACACACAAATAATTTCACCAAGTTTTACATTTCAAATCAACAAACGACAAATAAAAAATTTTTGTTTGCATAACTAAAACAACAACATTGCCAGTGATGTTCAGATTTTAAATGACAACATGACTGACAACAGTTTATCTATAATAGCATGTTCAAATATCTAATGTAAATGTTCAAATAAAGCTTTGAAAAGGTTTCATAAAAGGTAAACTTCACATTTCAGTTTTTAAATAAAGAGAAGGGTCAAGTCAAAATGATAATTGATTAATAAATTATTATATGTATTTATCTGCTCCATAAATAATACTAGATACCTTATTGTTTAAATGTGTAATCTAATAAGGCTCTTTGCTGCTTAACATGATTTTTAATGACTGGAAAACACAACACAATGAACAAGACAAAGCACTGATGCTTCCTTAGGGATACATAGACTAACAGATGGGTTTAATACTCACCAAATGAAAACCTCAATCCCTTGTGCAAGTGCAAACAGAACTTTGTGTGTGTGTGTGTGTGTGTGTGTGTGCGGTCAAAACACTAGCTAATCAGAGTTCCTTTGTGCGGAATGAAGTGATAATGATTTAGTTCATTCGAATCCAAATACATTTTAAAGTAATAATCAGAGCTTGTAACCATTAGGGATGCACCGATACCGATACTGGTATCGTATCGGGCCAGATACTGAGCTCCTGTACTCATACTCATACTCGTTAAAATGCCCCGATACCAAACGCCGATACCACACAGCATGTGAAAAGTGCCATATTCAGACAAAGAAACACCAACAACAGAACAACTAGGGATGTAACGGTATGAAAATTTCTTATCACGATTATAGTGACCAAAATGATCACGGTATTGTTAAAATGTGCTGGAAATGTTAAAAAAGTACTGACACACAAATAATTTCACCAAGTTTTACATTTCAAATCAACAAACGACAAATAAAAATGTTTTGTTTGCATAACTAAAACAACAACATTGCCAGTGATGTTCAGATTTTAAATGACAACATGACTGACAACAGTTTATCTATAATAGCATGTTCAAATATCTAATGTAAATGTTCAAATAAAGCTTTGAAAAGGTTTCATAAAAGGTAAACTTCACATTTCAGTTTTTAAATAAAGAGAAGGGTCAAGTCAAAATGATAATTGATTAATAAATTATTATATGTATTTATCTGCTCCATAAATAATACTAGATACCTTTTTGTTTAAATGTGTAGTATCCACATAAGCTTGTTTTTCATCAACCGGTCAAAATTTACAGCAGGGCATGCAAATTCGGCCCGTTTTTTGATCTACACACCTTTCACTTTTTAAGACTAAAACAAAAGATGGATTCATTATAGCATGTTCAAATATCTAATGTAAATGTTCAAATAAAGCTTTGAAAAGGTTTCATAAAAGGTAAACTTCACATTTCAGCTTTTAAATAAAGAGAAGGGTCAAGTCAAAATGATAATTGATTAATAAATGATCATATGTATTTATCTGCTCCATAAATAATACTAGATACCTTATTGTTTAAATGTGTAGAATCCACATAAGCTTGTTTTTCATCAACCGGTCAAAATTTACAGCAGGGCATGCAAATTCGGTCCGTTTTTTGATCTGCACACCTTTCACTTTTTAAGACTAAAACAAAAGATGGATTCATTGTTATTCTTAATTAAAAAGCATAACAATAAACCGTAAGATACAATGACTAACTAGCTTACAAAACGTTGTAAGACGAGGCATGGCACACACCACATGCTGTATTATATACCAACTAATAAATTACAGAACGTTTAGCAAACACTGAGGAATCAAATAAATATAAAAGAGAGCCTCCATAGCATAACGTGAGGTAAACAGCAAAGATAACAAGCTTTTCAAAATGAAAACAAAAAGAAAAGTAAAACTAAACTTGCTGTCGGTGACAGTGCTTGCATGTTTTTGTCCCACAAGAATACCAACATGTCTTTTACTTTACTTTAGAATGAAACCCATCCATCGTTTCAATATTTGTGTCATTTTTGCTGCATTCAGCTTCGCGCTCCTGACGCGGCGAGTATAAACCAGGCTCTACACTCGAAGGGCTGCACAGCTCAAACGAGTCGCGCGGTTTCGTTATGCTTTCAGTTTTATTTGCCGTTTGATGTTTCTCACATGCAACAGAAATGCAGCGCTTAGGAGTTAAACAATGCACACAAAATTTAGTTGCACCGGCAGAAATTTTTTTCGCAAAATGCGCCCATTTGGTTGCAGTCTGAAGCCCTGTGCAGTACAGTATTTATTTATCCTCAGTTGTTCAAATCGCGGTAATCGAATACGGTTATATTGATAATTAAAATATGAAACGGTAATACTAACCGTGGGGTATTTATCACGATTTATCATCAAACCAGTAATCGTTACATCCCTAATTAGAATACAAAGATGTAATATGCGTGACATGTAATTATGAAAATTTTTTTTTTTAAATAAAATAAATAAATAGTTAATTTACCTGTGCAAGGTAAGCCTGTTGAAATGTGAAAAAATTTTTTTTTTTCGTATTTATGCGTATGTTTTGTCATTTTATTTTTGCTTTTAATACATTAGTATCTAATCATTAGACTGCAAAGACATAATATGCATAGCATGTAAAAATATAATTAAAAAAACAAAAAAACAAACAAAAGTTGTTAATTTACCCATGCACACCAAATAAGTAGCTAATTAAAAATGGAAACATCATTATCTGTTTGCACTTTTTGAAAAATGTTAGTTTAGTGAAATGTGAACACAACTTTTGCTCTTATTTGCTGTGTTCAGTTTTCTTTCGAATTAAGGATGAGATATAAATTGGCTCAAAAGGAAATCATGTTTAAGATTTCACTGAGGAAGAACAAGCATTATGGTAAATAAGATTGGTTTTAAATATGCATGCAAATTTCATTAGATCGTTTAGATGGAGTCTTTTTTTATTTGTGTGTGTCAGCGCCGCCCACAGAAGACCCGTAATCACTTTTCTTTTGCAGTCCGTGAAAAATCACAAATTATTTTGCTTGTCAGTCGGTGTGATTTGCTTTAATGCAGATGCACTCGAAGCGATAATGATGCTGACATTTGCATTCTGTAGGAGATGCATCTCTGTGCGCTGCTACAAGAATTAAACACTTACTGTGAGTTTTTCATGCTTTTCTTTTTTTCTCTCCTGTTCTCAATACTGAAGAAGCTTTGTTAAATGACATTATGGCCATAGCGTTAAAGAAAAATCTGTAGTATATATTTTAAACATTTATTTATTTTACATTTTAATCAGATCCTTTTTATTTTTTGCATTACAGCGTCTTATAACCTATATGTAGAATAAATGTTAAATTGTTAAACAAAAACCACTATGATGTATAAATATTTGAAAACGTACATCATATATTTGTTTTGTAGAAGTAAAGCATGTTTTGATTTCAGAAGCAATAAATTGTGTATTATTTAATTAAAAACAATACATTTAAAAGTGTAAATCAAAAACCATCATGATGTATAAACTTTGAAATTTATATCATATTTCTTTGTTTTTGTTTTTTTGGCATTGTCACAATGCAAAAAGAGGGAAAGGATTGATTTTCTTTTAAGAAAGATGTTTTCTTGTTTTGTAAATACATATAGTTTTATAGTAAAATATGATTGCCACATTGCTTTATTTAGAGTGTGCATGGACTTTTATTTTCTCACTGATGGCCATTTGAATGAAGAGATGGATTCGATTAGGCTAAACGGATAATGTTTGTGTGATTCTGGTGATCGTACTGATTGTTGCTCATGTTGTTTGTCAGATATGGAGTCAGCGGAGAGGCTGGTTTCCCCGACCTCCAGTCAGACCTCCATAAGAGCTGCAGCAAACCCAGAAACCTCATCGACAACAACACACAGCAAGAGCGGTAAGAAACACACAATCACCCAATCCAGTCCATCAGACTAAAAGTTCTGTTTAACTTGAAGAAATATATTGTGACAGAAATACTTTGCTGTTCTACAGTGGAAATGTACTCGTGGTAGTAGTAGTAGTAGTAATAATAATAATTTATAGTAATTTTAATACTAATTATAATAATAAAAAAGTACAACTTTAAGAAATGTAACAATTTCTTTGGTGTTGTTGTGCAGCACTTTGTTTGCTAAAAAAGGTTAAATTTTCACTTGATTACATTCACTTCATTTGATTATCACCACTAATAAATTTGTATTAAATCATAAATCCAGAAAAAAAAACGAAACAGAAAAAATTAATACATCTATATAAAAAAAATTTATTTTTAAGTTTTATTGAATTCAATTGATATACATACTTTTTGATTATTAAAATGTAATTAAACAATTAAAAAAAACTGAATCAATTAAAATTTAAAACAGCAAAAATTGAATTTTAGAACAACTTAAGATTTCACGTGAAAGTATATACATTTCATGATTTCATTTAATTAAACATGCATTTTGATTACCAAAATTTAATTTAACTATTAAAATGGAGTCCAGAAAAAAATACAAATAATTGGGCAAAAAATAAAACTGAATTCATAGGGCCATAGAATGTCATTTTGGTTAAACTTTTAATAAATTGTTAAATTGTGTACATTTCATGATTTCTGTTATTTAGACATGCTTTTTCATTAACAACATTTAGTTTAACCATTAAAACCAAATGGAAAAAAATTAATTTGGTTTAAAAAAAAACTGAATTTAAGAAAAAATTAAGATGATTCATATGAAGAGCTACTTTATTAATGAACACCAACATGAGGCCTCTTGCTCTCGTTTAGTCTGTATGAAATTATCCAGAGACAGTTTGTCCTTTTTCTAAACACATTTTATGCCGCTGGGTGAATGTCTACTGTTGATATAGACGCTGTCAGATTAGCCTGACCACAAAATAATATGCAAATTTATAAATTGTGATTTGTGCATGTTTTTTTTTTTTTCTTGTCCCGTCTCCTCGCCTCTTTGTTCTCGCTCATGATAAGAAATGCCAAGAGAGAATCCGTCGGTTTGTTCCATGCAATTAATAGAGCTTTTCTCTCTCACTGATGAATAATGTATTTGAATTGCTCTTTTTACACACACAAACGCAATCATACACAAAGATATTTTGCCTCGGATAACCTGTTTTGACCAGAGTAATGAATTCAAAGCAAAAGTCAGGTGTGCGTGTCATTATTATGTTTACGATGGTAAATTTCACTCATATTACAGATTTTTTATAAAATTGTTTATATTGTTAAAGTTAATATTTTTCTCAGTTTTTTTATTTTTTGCATTTTTTCTTGAAATTTTTTTTTTTTTACCCCATGGGTAAAATAATCCCTTTAGATAATAATTTATTAATCGACTGAGGCAAATCTCATGAGCCTGACAAAATAGTAAAAGTTGCACTTGTGCAGGTCATATTTATAAACTTCAACTTTTCTGTTTAACAAGAAAATAATACAGGGTTTGAATGACATTTGGTGAAATAAATTATTGCAAAATGTTCATTTCTGGCTGAATTATTGAAAGAGCAAAAATAGTGAGTGATAAAGCAAATAAATTTCACATACTTTTCCTTTTCTTTCTTTTTTACTTCCTCTTGGCCGGCTGGCCAGCAGTTTTGATTATTCCGCCGCTTGGAGTGTATTAATATTTAAAGGCTGTTTGCAGATGTCATTGCCACTTGCAGTGCAGATGAGGGGGACAGCGGGAGGGGATGGAGGCCGGGCTTTTGGATGTTTCTTCCAGCCATTTATTTTCGCCGTCTCGTCCTGTATCGACGGGCCAGGCCTCAAAGGAGCTGACGCTAAATATGCAACTCATTAGAATGAGATTCAAAGATGTGAAAGATGTCTCTTTTTTTTGCCTGTAAACGACCATCACAGCAGCTCGGAGAACGAGGGGTTTTTTGTCTCTCTTGAAGGGGATTTTTCCTGTGTCCAGCTTTTGTGCTCTTACTCTATTCTTTGCAAATCCCTCAGGAGTTTTAGCAGTAAATGACTTCGGGAAAAAGAAAAGCCTTCAGCCCCCCTGAGCAGCCAAGAAAAAGGGAAATTCATTGGTTTAGTAAATGTTTATATGGCTTTTAATTTATGCATGTAGTTTATAGAAACTGTGCATTAGTGAAATACAGTGATGTTGATTGACAATGTTATGGGTTATATCTTAAAAACAAGCCCTCAAACCAGCATTACTTTGCATTTCATACAAATCATGCATGTAGTAGGGATTTACGATGAATGAAATTAAAGCCAAAACTTATATGTAGGGCTCCAGACTGCGACCATTTTTTCTGCCGGTGCAACTCATTTTTGTGAGCGGTCGCACTGGCGCGACCACCGTGTTGTCCAACTCATAAGCGCTGCCATTTCTGTTACATTTGAGAAACATCAAATGGCAAACGAAAGCGAAAATAAACCGCGCTAAGTTTCAGCTGCGCAGCGCGGACCGTTTATCAGATCGGACCGCGGCGCAAACGAACTCGTCCAAGCTCGGAGCAGCTTTACTCAGAAGCCAAAGTTGATTTCGCAACAGTGCTGTGAGATCCAGCGAGAAGCATTTGAATTCACTGCACATAAGGTTACTGCGAGATCTAGTGAGAATCATTCAAATTCTGCACAGAATTCTCTGTTATAAACAGCGCTGACATGCGTCAGGAAACCAGAAGCAGTAACGCTAACTGTAACCATGGTGTTGTGGTAGAAATAGTCAAATGCATTACATCATTCATTTCAGGGTTTGTACAACGTTTTGAGAGAGAAATTCAAACACTTTTCAATGACTTTCAAGCATTTCACACAACTATTTCCAGCACATTAAAGCTCTAAAATGATCCAGTTTGAATGTTATTTTTAATGGGATGACCAAAATATACTTTGTGGTAAATAAACACTTATGTATAATTTAAAAAATGCATCAAATCACAATTATAACCAGTTGACGGCAGCAGAGGAGCACTTATTGGCTTATTAATCATTCATTTCTACTTTTTCTCTATATTTTGAAATTATAAAATCACTCTTATAAAATATAAAATCATCAAGAAATCAGATTTTGTCAGAATTTTACACTTTTTTTAAATTTGTGTGTATGAAGAAAAATCACAAAGTGCCTTGAAAAACAATTTTCTTCAATTTGCTACTAAATCACATATAATAACTGAAGTTGGTCAGTTACATATACTAGAAGAATAATGGTACATTTAATAAGAGTGGAATATATACATTTTCTATATAAAAATTACATTTTGCACCTACTGTTGCTTTACTGTTGTTAAAAGTAAATTTTGTATGCATCTTAACTCAAGCTTAGTGCTTTACTGTCAAATCTGTATAAACGATAAACAAAAGAAAAATAAACAAGAAATGAACGTCGTATTATTAGTAACTGCACTTATTAATGCAAAACAATAGTAATTTTATGATTAAATTATCTATATTTTTAATACTCCCGCACACCACCCCCAGCGCTACCAAATCTGCTTCTGGCGCCACCATCTGCAGAACTTAGTGGTGCTGGTGCGGCTTGGTGCGATTATCAAACCGCAAATTCTTTTTATTTTTTAAGTGCTGTTTCAAATATTTTCGTAATATTAGTAATAATCATTGATTATTTGTATTGTTTTATAATAATGGGTTTTATTATTATTATACTAACATAATACAAAATAATAATAAATCATAATAAAACGACAATAATAATAATATTAAAGTCAAGTCAAGTCAAAAGTACTTCTATCATTTAAGCGGGTAGAACACAAGTCATCAGGGCAGTTATTTGAGATTTGACTTACTAGTCACATGGAGCGCAGCGTCCTGGAGATGTTGTCCGACATGAGCTCCGCTCCAACTCTGCTGGGATGCAGACCATCAGCGCAAAACAGCCTAGGACGCTCCCAGAAAAGATTCCAGTTATTAACAAAGAGCAGTTTCTGTTCTTTACACCATGACAATAACCATTCATTTAAAGCAAAAAGTTATTATATTAAAGTTATTATTATTATATAGCCATATTAATTAATAATCACACAATTTTTGCCAAATTATGCAGGCCTACAAGCAATCACAGCAAATCTATAATGTTTTAATTGCATTTTAAATAGCATTTTATCAGGGGGAAAAAAATCCCAATTAGAATTTACTTTCTCTTTGCTGTATCTGTGAACAACTTCTTAAATTCATTGTAATAATGTAAATCCACACACATTCTTTTCTAATTACTGCAAATGGTCTGATTTCTCTGACAGGCTTTATGTATCAGACGGTTACACATGCATGAGTGATATCTTATGATTTCTCTCTCAGGTCATTTGTTCCAAATGTTTGGCAATCAGGGTTTGGGAATTTCTTCAGTTTCCAGTGCCTTTCCCATGATCAGTCACCCAGTCTTCAGTCTGCACTCCTCTTCTCCTGTCTACTCTGAATTCGGAGGTCTGGGAACTCTGGGATTGTCGGCCGCTCTGGCAGCCCGCTCTCAGATCGGAGCTTTACCAGGTATGTTTAGCAGAAGTCATTAGCTTCAGGTGTTTTTTCACAGGTACAGGCCATACAACAGATTTACAGTGTTGTTTAAATCTTATGAAACCGGTCAGAAAAATGTCTGTGTAATATTTAACACCAAAATTGCTTGAAATGGTGAAGAATGGCAAGAAAATGTTTTGAGATTATTTTCTGCATTATATTTCCTGAACATTAAGCACATTTTACCCCCAAATTCTTATCATAATGCTAAATAAATAAAAAATTATAATTTGCATTACAATAAAGTGACATTAAAATAACATTTAAATTTTCAAATATTCATACGTCATGGTAGTTTGTTGTGTATCTTGATTTAAATTAAAAAACAACAATGTTTATTGTACAAGTATAATTTGTATATGCATATAAATAGAATTATGCATTTATTCATTCATATAATAAATATAATATAATTTATTTAAAATGTTATATTTTTATATGTATGTAACGTCATGTGTATATAATATTTATAATTATTTAATAATCTAATATTTATAATTTAAATTATAATTGAACATTTTGAATTTGAATTATATTATTATACCCATTCTGTTGGACTGTAATTTTTAGAATACTGCCAGAAAATGTTTTTATTCAAAAACATGTTTAAGTTGAATATTTTGTAATGTATTATCTGAATGTATTTTAGAAATTTTTTTTTTGGTCTTATGTCAAGTTAAAATGTTTTTAAAATAATTTAAAATTCTATAAATTATGACCTTGTCTTTGCCATGTAAATAGCCTTGAGGCTAACATGGCATTAAAAAATTATTTAAAAAATCACAGTTAAATTACAGTTATTAAAGTTACACTTTATTTCAAGGTGTCCTTGTTACAGTGTAATTATACATTTAAGAACGGAGTTATATTAATTAACTACATGTGCTTTATGGTTAGGGTTTGGCTCAGGGTTACTTACATGTAATTATCCATAATTTATTGTTATTATAATAGTAAGTACATGTAACGTGTAACAAGGTCACCTTAAAATAAAGTGTTACCTATATGTGACCCTGGAGCACAAAAGCAGTCTTAAGTCGCTGGGGTATATTTGTAGCAATAGCCAAAAATACATTGTATGGGTCAAAATTATAGATTTTTTTTTTATGCCAAAAATCATTAGGATATTATATAAAGATTTTTTATTAGTAATATGCATTGCTAAGAACTTCATTTGGACAACTTTAATTTTCGATTTTCTCACCCTCAGATTCCAGATATTCATATAGTTGTATCTCGACCAAATATTGTCATATCCTAACAAACCATACATCAATGGAAAGCTTATTTATTCAGCTTTCAGATGTTGTATACATCTCAATTTCGAAAAATTGTCCCTTATGACTGGTTTTGCGGTCCAGGGTCACACACACACATATATGTGTGTATATATAATATGAAGAGTTCAGATGCAAAAACCTCTAAGTACGTCTGACGTTTTTCTTTAAAATTAGCATTTCTTTCTGGCTACTATGTATAGGTTTCTATGTAAGTATTGGTACTTCTGAATGGGTTGAGGCTGGGATTTAGCGCATTTGAAGTGAAAGTACTTGATGAACATGTAATATGTTTTGAGAGCATTCACTCAGTATTGTTCTCATTTTTGAGCAAGATGGTTTTAGAGGCTTTTGCACTGGAACTCTTCACACACACATATATATATATATATATATATATATATATATATATATATATATATACACACCATTGAGAATATTGGCAATTGCAATATCTCAGCAGTGAAACATCTGGATCCGTTAGAGTAAAGAAAATGCAGGGAAAACACAAAATAATATCACAATGTAGTCTTTATTTTTTTTAGGAGGGGGGTTGAAACGTGACCTGGATGTGTTTTTGTGAGCACATAGGCAGCATGTTTCACCTTTTATAGTGCTTTCCATCAGTCTGGAGATCCACGCTGAGGCCGTGACATTTATAAAGACCTGAATGCTTCGGGTCAGAGCTCTGCTTTAACCTCCTGCAGCAACTTCAGCCCCTCACAGACTTACACACTTCATGACACACAATTAGGGATGCACGATATATCGGCCACCATATCGGTATCGGCCGATAAATGCTAATTTTTTCTGTTATCGGTATCGGCCCGATAAGAAAATTTGGCCGATATCTTAAAGCCGATAAATAATGCATTATTTCCTTCAGAGACACTTCAGATGCGCGCTGTTCGTTTGCAGCCTTTTGTGCAATTGTACGTTGTAATATTGTGTTTATTTGATGTATATCTGATTTATCTCATATAGAATGCGTTTGGTTAAGTTAAAAGAGCGCTTCAGTTTACCGGTGATCATCTTTAGCTCAGCACACGCAGCTCAAACAGCAGTGCACAACAATAATAACTATGATTGGGAATGTTGTGTATATAACATTATATAATGATTCTTTTCTGAACAAGATTGTTGCTGTAAAAGAGATGGGGATTGCGCAAATCTCAGCCCTCATCCTGAAGGACAATCAGACACTGAAACTGTCAAATCAACCTAAAGTGATGCTTTTAAGGTTGTTTCTTGTATTCATATGATGTAGGACATGCTTTACTATTTGTCATAAAATGGTTGTTTACAGAACGTGTGTGAGTGTTTTGTGCCGGATCTGTAAGCCATGTGTGAGCAGGCTATTGGAGAAAATGTTGTGTGATGTCGGTTTTAGATTTACCATCTTTAGCGTGTTTATAATGAATGACTGAAATGAGAGTGGATGGAGTAAAGCGCGGTTGTTAGGAGATCTGAGGAGTTGGTGTGAAAGCAGATGCCTGTAATCAAAAGCTAGATTTTCTCTATCTCTGGATCATTTAGCATCACTCACTGACTGTTTGTATAGATTTGCTTGCTCGCTGAGGATTTATGAGCTAGTTTGGTTGTGGTTATGGCACAGTTGAGGATAAATTAAAGAGGTTTTTGTGCTGTTTATGGACGCTTCAAGCTAAGGTGAAGTTGATTTTGTGTCCTGTGTTAAGGAGAGAACAATATGCAAAAATAGCACTTTTTGGCTTCAACATTATGCAGTATGTTGCATATCTCTTTATTTTGCATGTAAATGTTTTAAACTACCCTTTTTACCATAGCTTTCTATATATATTTGTATATGTGCTACATCTAATTTTAATCATATACATACATATACTCACGTAAAGAAATATTTACTACAGAGTCAGTGTTGGGGGTATAATGCATTACAAGTAACTCGAGTTACAGTGGGTACGGAAAGTATTCAGACCCCCTTAAATTTTTCACTCTTTGTTATATTGCAGCCATTTGCTAAAATCATTTAAGTTAATTTTTTTTCCTCATTAATGTACACACATCACCCCATATTGACAGAAAAACACAGAATTGTTGAATACCCAGCCCTACTTTTTAATGTACAAGAATATATCTGAGTTACTTGACCCCATGTTGAGAGAAGTCAGGAGTAATTGCAGAGGTGTTACGTGCGCTTTGTGAACATGATGTTACTGTAGTTCTAGACTAAATGTCAACATGCATTTACTCATCTCACTTGCACAAAAACAGATTCAGTATTGCTCAAAATGAATATCGATTTGCCGATATTATCGGCCGATATGAGCCTGTCACCGATATATCGGTATCGGCGAATATGCTGCCGATATGACATTTTTTTTACAGAACATATAATGCAGATAAAATGCTCGAAATGGTGTAATTACTTAGTTTGTCCAGCAGAGCGCGCTCCATTGTTTGCTACTGGCGACCTGGATGAAACGCTTTAAAGCTTAAGTCTATGGAAAACCATTGAAACTTTAAACGGAATCTCCGTAACGGCGCGGCGAAGCTGCACCAAATTCGTGGGGATCTCTTCAGCTCAAGGAACCCTCTCGAACGTGAATCGAGTGTATGTCTCCAGGCCCTCTTTCGAATGAGACCACCCCCGTGTGGATAGCCCCCGGGGTTCGGGAGTTACGGGTGGTTAAATTCGCTGTCCGGCGCCGACCGATCTAGCGATCCCGGGGGGGCTACTGACGCGCGGAGGGTGGCGTTCGAGAGGGCTCCTCGAGCTGAAGGGATCCCCCGAATTTGGTGTAGATCCGCCAGCGCGTTCGCGAGATAGTGACACCAGTCAACACTTTCCCTTATCGAATGAAAAAAATATACAAGACAAACTAAAATATTTTATATATATATATATATATATTTTTTTTTTTAGGTTTTTTTTGTTCAAGTAAAATAATGCCGCTTTTTAATAATTAAAAATAATCTGATTTTGGAGTTTGACAATGAACATATTGCAACCATGCTTGGGACGGCCCACATAAACGAGCAAAAATGCTTTACATGTCTTGAAATAATCATTTCTAAACATTAAACATTGACTGTCAGTCTTTATTCACCTGTTTCTGGTTGTTTCTCATTAAAATTAAAGTAAGTAGTTTAAATTACATTGCTAATGTCATAGAATAGCACATTGTAACGCAGTGTTACAACGTGCCCCATCTGCGCAACTGGAATTTAAAACTGGTTAGTGTCTTCTGCTAATAATCAAAGCATTAAAAAACTATCTGAACTGATAAATAACAGATTGGAGATTAAAATAATAGCAGATTTGTCTAATTTTAAATGAATAATAAAAACTGAGATTAAAAAATTTACTTAAACCAGAATTTAAATGTTACTATGGTAAAAAATATTCAAACCATGTGTGTTACAACTAACACCCAGTTAATTTGTGCATCGCACTCATCGCAAGTTTATTGTTAAATGCCCTTACATATCTCTGTCACCATTATAAGTGTTTGATTTTAAAAATTGTTTATGTATATATATTCCGTTTATGTATATTCTGTATTCTATATATAGTACCAGTCAAATGTTTGGACACACAAATGGGAAAGTGTCGGCAGATATATCTGTATCTGCCTTTTTTTAACTCCCTAATATCGGTATCATTATCGGCCCCAAAAAACCCATGTCAGTCGGGCTCTACTCCGAATATGACGCAAACACATATAATTCATGCATTTAATCCCATTTTATTAAACATTGTTTTTACTGCTGACATTCGATGATCCAGTTCAACCATACTAATAAACAAAAATAACTTTAGATAACATCCGTTTCATTTTTTGCTGCTGAACAGTGTTGAACCTTCTTCTCCTATGTCTTATTCTTCATGCAATCCAGAATAGCAGCACAGCTGAAATGTTGGTTTGAATTTACTTTTCCTTCAGCCTAGCGCTTATTACACTTTTGGTGTGAAAGGGCTTCTCTGGGCCAGCCCTGATGAGAAAAAGTTATGCAAAAGTACTCATTACTTTCCATAAAAAATAACACAATTAATTACTTTTTTAGGGAGTAACATAATATTGTAATGCATTATTTTTTTAAAGTATTAAGCCAACACTGTTCATAGCAAATCTCAACTGCTTAATAATTTGAGTCATTTGGCACCTAAGAAAAGTATTTAATGAACTTCAGCTGTAGCAACAGATAAAACGAGAAAGGAAAGTTTGTCAAGACTTGATTTGACTTGCAAGTTAAAGTCCGAAATCTGAAGATTATTTGAGACTTCATCCAGTTTGAGACTTTTGAAGAATGAGACTCTCATCCTAGGAAATTTTAAAGGGATAGTTCACCCAAAAATGAAAATTCTGTCATCATTTACTTACCCTTAAGTTGTTCCAAATCTGTATGCGCTCCCTTTTTTTTCCTTTTTATTTTGAACACAAAATAAGATATTTTGAAGAATGTTAGTAACCAAACACTTGACGGTAGTCATGGACTTATATTGTATTTTTTTCATTACTATGCAAGTCAACCGTTTGGTAGCCCACATGCTATCCCTTTAAACTTGATCTGTTTCCACAGATTGGTGGCGTTTTGCAGATGCTCAGGGTCAAGGGTCGGCGGCCTTTTTCCCTCATCTTCTGGGTCTGCCAGCATTATTCAGCGCACCAGCCCTGAACCAAGAGCAACCCCTCCTTCAGTCTCACGCAGCCAGACGCGCTCCGGTGAAAGGTGCTACATTACCGGTCATATACTCTGTGTGTATTTTTATTCCTAAAGGTAGTGAGCTGTTTACACAGACAGCATATTTAGACATCTTTGTGCTCCAAACATGAAGACTGATCCATTGTATAAGCAATATAAATGGCATTTGAACCAAATACCGAGCAAGCATTGCTTTTATCCTTTTAAAATATCGATCAAAAATATACTCCTATTTCATTTAACACAGACAAGTATCTATGAAAATAATGTAAAAACTGTGACAAATATGTTATTACTAAATATCAGGGAAATGTCTTATTCTACTAAAATACAGCAGAACGCTACTCTTTTATTCAGACATATTCTGGTGTGGGGAAAACCAATCTCTGAATTTAGTACTTCAAATAAAATCAATGAAGTCATTATGCATTCTTTTTCCTGAAAATTAAGCACACATTATTTTGTGAAAAGTTACCCCAAATTATTGTTACTGCAATGCAAAAAAAGATGATATTCTTATTCCTATAAAGTGACGTATTTAAATAACATTTACATTTTGAATGTTTATGCATCATGGGAGTATTTGTTATGCAACCTTTAATTGTATCTGAATTTAAATAAAAAATAATTGTATAATTTTAAGTATTATGTATATTAATATAAAATTGTTTATACTGTATATATTTATATTTTTGACATTGATAATAATAACCATTTTTAATAACTGAGCATCAATAATAATTGAAGAGCAAAATTGAGCATATCCACAAAAATAGGAAACGGCACAACTGTTTTCAAAATTGATAATTATAGAAATGTTTCTTGAGCAGCAAATCAGTATATTAGAGTGATTTCTGAAGGATCATGTGACACTGAAGACTGGAGTAATGATGCTGAAAATTCAGCTTTGATCACAGGAATAAATTAATAGAAAACCATTTTAAATGACAATATTATTGATTTTACTGTATTTTTTTTATCACAAATGCATAAGAGACTTCATTAAAAACATTTAAAAATTGTGAACACACTTTTGAGACAATTTCTACATATTATATTTATATGATATATGTATATATTACTATATATTTATTACATTTCACAGTATATGACGAGTAAGTCTGCATTCCGATATTTACCGTGAAACAGTGTCTAGCCTCAGGACTGGAACAGCCTGCTGATGTTTACAGTGTTTATCTCACACTGTCACTTCGACATGTTAATAAACACATTTGAGATTTTATTTGATCTATTACATATAGATGGCATCTATTTACACCTTTACTGTACTCGTGATGAAAACATTCCTCACTGATTTCACAGGCATCTCACATTCACTGTTTTTAGATGATTTGGAAAATGAAAAGTTTAAAGTTTAAAAGCTAGTGAGTTTCCTTGCTCTGTCTACTTGTTATGTAAACAAAAATGATCTGCTCATTCATGTTCAGTTTATTCACGTTTACAGTACAGTGCCATGCTGTAACTAAAGATGTGTTTGTTTCATACATGATGTTTTCTGGAGCAGAACTGAATGGCTCCATCAATGGAAAGGCGAAATCAAGCTCAGCCTCCACACCCTCTCCAGTCCTCATCCCTCCAGACCAGACCAAGAGCCTGAAAACCAGCCCCAAACCAACACTAAACCAGCTAGAGGAGAAAACTAGACTCAAAACAAAAGACGAGGTAAAGACTCATTAAACATGACATTTAGTCATTATTTACTCACTCTCGTGTCGTTATTATAAACCCACATGTTGTTATATTTTCTAGTGGAACTCAAATGCGAGTCAGTTAATTAGTTGACTTGTGTATTGTAAATAAGCAAAGCATTGAAAGGGGGTTTAATGTTTTTCATACAGTATATATGCAGCATTCATATCAGTATGCGTTCTAAATGCTGCTGTTGACACTTTGTCAGAAAACATCATCCACCTTTTTTTGGGACTATTTTTAGTCTGTCATGTCAGCTGGATGGGTGGCAGAAAGGGGTTGTTTGTGTAAACAAAGCGGCCGCTGCTGTCAACTGACATTGCTCTTCCTGACAGAAGTTGCATAGCAAAGTGCCAGACGTCTCCATCAACAGCGACAGCCAATCAGCATCCAGCTCTGACAGCTCGAGCGATGCTCTTAGCAGCTCTGACTCAGACGACCTGGAGGATGTTGACGACGATGATGATGATGATCAGAGTGATGATAGTGTGGACTCAGAAAAGTGCAGAAAAGATCAGAAAGTTATCCGTAAGGTATGTGTCAAAATGGTTTTAATTCAAATAAAATATAAGTCTTAGACAAAAATTTGAAATGAAATAAAATAAGTTGAAATGCTAAAATGACAAACTGATTTACACACACACACACACACACACACACACACACACACACACACACACACACACACACACACACACACACACACACACACACACACACACACACACACACACACACACACACACACACACACACACACACACACACACACACACACACACACACACACACACACACACATTGTAAATTATTATAATAGTATGAACACAGATGAACATTTTTTTATCTTTTTAAAATCTAGTTAACAAAAGATTAAAAATGTAATCTCTGTATTTAGGTTTATTTTTTTAAAGGGGTCATATGATGCAAATTTTCCAAATTCTCTTTGGAGTGTTTCAAGCTGATTGTGCATAGATAAGATCCCTGAAGCTGCAAAGACTAAAGTCTCAAAACCAAAGAGATATTCTTTATCAAAGTTAAGACTCTGCCACGCCCCCCTAAAACGGCTCGTTCTAACACGCCCCCACATATCTACCTCACTATGTGGAAATATTTGCATAATGCGGCCCAAATGTGCACGCAAAGAAAGAAGGCGTGGTTTCAGTAACCGCAGTTAGTGTTGAAGCAGCATGTCAGGGAGACGCTGTGTGTTTCTAGGTGAAAGCAAAAGCACTTTATTTGGCCTTCCGAAAGTAGATGCATTTAGGAATCTTTAAGATCACTTACAACAGAACAGCAATGCATTTTATGGACGACAGTTTCATGCAGTGCGTGCAGTGCGTGCAGTGATGAAGCTCGCGATTATGGTAAGGGGCGTTACATTTATGATGAGTGCTTGCGGTGTTCGGCCAATCACAATGCACTGGGTCAGCTGGCCAATCAGAGCAGACTGCGCTTGTCGGAAGGAGGGACTTTGTAGAAAACGAAGCGTTTGAGAGAGGCGGGGCATAGAGGACCTACAATAATGTACAGTATTTGAAAAATAATGTGTTTGTATGTTGACATTAAAGCATGTCAACATATTCTGTTACACCAAGTACACAAAATAATGATCTTTAAAAAAGCATCATATGACCCCTTTAAAACAACTTATTTAATGTTTATACCGTTTCAACCTTTTATATCATAGAAAATATGGTAGTATGCTATTCTAAATGTAGCCTTTGGGTGGATATTATTTTTTTAAATGTTATCGTGAAATGTATTATTATTATTTATTATTATTACTAATACTACTAAAATATAAAAACAAACAATAATAATAATAATAATGAAAAGATTACAAATATTAATGGTATTAAATAATCCACATTAAAAGTAATGCAATATTTAAAAAACTGTTGAACAAAGCTGTTACATTATTTTATGTTAGTATAATTTGTAATTCTGCTTACCCAGGAGGAAATGCACACAGACAGGAAGAAGAGCCGTCACACTGTAGGACAGGATAAGCTGGATGTCCAGGGTTTGCTTTTGTCCCAGCTGCCTTTGCACATCCAGTCCCTCAGGCCGACAGAGGAGCCCAGCAAACACGCCAGTGTCATCCAGGCCACAGGTCTAGCATCCAGCGCAAAACCGCTTGCTCTAGTCATGCAGCGACGCAGGGACAGAGACGCACCGTCCCCTACAGACCTGCCCATCTCCCACTCATCCTCTCCAAAACCACCTTCCCTCACCCCGTCACCCAAGCCTCTGTCTCTGACTTCCTCTCCCACACCGCCCTCCTCCAAATCCACCCGTCTGAAGACTTGCAAGAATTACCTCGACCAGACCCTGCTCACCATTAACAACTTCAGCAAGCTCAAACAGGTGACTTTCTCTGAAACACAACCAGATAAAAAGCATGCATGCATGCGCACATGATATTTGCTGATCAGTGTTGAGGAAGAACCTCGTTTCTGAAACTAAACTACAGTTCAAACTTTTTTTTGAATGTTTTTGAAAGAAGTCTCTTCTGTTCACCAAGGCAGAGTTTATTTGACCCAAAAATTAAAAAAGTAAAAACATTACAAGTTGTGAAATATTGTTACAATTTAAAATAACTTTTTTTTATGTGAATATATTGTAAAATGTAATTTATTGCTGTGATCGAATCTGAATTTACAGTATCATTACTCCAGTCTTCAGTGTCACATGATCTTCAGAAATCATTCTAATATGCTGATTTGCTGCTCAAGAAACATTTCTGATTATTATCAATGTTGAAAGCAGTTGTGCTGCTTCATATTTTTGAGGAGACATGACACTTTTTTGAGGATTTAGAAGATAAAAATAAATCGGTAAAACTTTACAATAAGGGTACATGAATAATCTTGTGCTAATGTTAATGTTAATGCATTATTTAATATTTATGGGTAAACGAAATCAAACAGCCTCTTTGAGAAAGAATAAGAAATACTCTGGCTTTGAAATAAATTAAAAGAATTTAATATCATAATTTAAGCTTTTGACATCTTCTTTATGAAGATCAGTTATTAGTGTATTTACAGTAGTATTTTCTACACTTGATGAGGAGGATCAACTAATCTTTTTCCACCCAGTAATGTTTATGGCAAAGCTGAAGATGTAAAAAGCTCAATTGTTTTTAACAACAGTTTAAAAAAAATTATAGTATTAAATTATTTTACTTTATTTCAAAGTCAGAGTATTTATTTTTCTTTCTTAAAGAGGCTGTTTGATTTAGTTTACCCATAAATATTAAATAATGCATTACCTATCAAACATGTACTAACATGTAATAAAGCCTGCTGTTATTCATGCCTGAATCCATATGACTCCAGTTGTAGTTAAGGACAGCTCTTCATTAATTCATGATTAGTTACCAACTTTAATAATCATTAGTATTTGATGAATTAAGTATTAATTTAGGCATTAGTACGATTATTCATGTACCCTTATTGCAAAGTTTTACCAATAAATCTTATCATTTATCTTATCATATATTATTGAAGGAAATTATAACTTTTATTCAGCAAGGACACATTAAATTGATTAAAAGGGACAGTAAAGACATTTGTAATATTTCAAATGCTTTGGACTCTAACATTGATTAAAAAATGTATCCGTTTCCACAAAAATATTAAACAGAAAAATCTATTTTTTCAACATAGATACTAATAATGACCTTAATTAATAATTGAGCACTGATAATAATTAAGCAGCAAATCAGCATATTAGAATGATTTCTGGGGACAGTAAAGACATTTGTAATATTTCAAATGCTTTGGACTCTAACATTGATTAAAAAATGTATCCGTTTCCACAAAAATATTAAACAGAAAAATCTATTTTTTCAACATAGATACTAATAATGACCTTAATTAATAATTGAGCACTGATAATAATTAAGCAGCAAATCAGCATATTAGAATGATTTCTGAAGATCATGTGACACTGAAGACTGGAGTAATGATACTGTAAATTCAGATTCGATCACAGCAATAAATTACATTTTACAATATATTCACATAAAAAAAAGTTATTTTAAATTGTAACAATATTTCACAACTTGTAATGTTTTTACTTTTTTAATTTTTGGGTCAAATAAACTCTGCCTTGGTGAACAGAAGAGACTTCTTTCAAAAACATTCAAAAAAAAGTTTGAACTGTAGTTTAGTTTCAGAAACGAGGTTCTTCCTCAACACTGATCAGCAAATATCATGTGTGCATGCATGCATGCTTTTTATCTGGTTGTGTTTCAGAGAAAGTCACCTGTTTGAGCTTGCTGAAGTTGTTAATGGTGAGCAGGGTCTGGTCGAGGTAATTCTTGCAAGTCTTCAGACGGGTGGATTTGGAGGAGGGCGGTGTGGGAGAGGAAGTCAGAGACAGAGGCTTGGGTGACGGGGTGAGGGAAGGTGGTTTTGGAGAGGATGAGTGGGAGATGGGCAGGTCTGTAGGGGACGGTGCGTCTCTGTCCCTGCGTCGCTGCATGACTAGAGCAAGCGGTTTTGCGCTGGATGCTAGACCTGTGGCCTGGATGACACTGGCGTGTTTGCTGGGCTCCTCTGTCGGCCTGAGGGACTGGATGTGCAAAGGCAGCTGGGACAAAAGCAAACCCTGGACATCCAGCTTATCCTGTCCTACAGTGTGACGGCTCTTCTTCCTGTCTGTGTGCATTTCCTCCTGGGTAAGCAGAATTACAAATTATACTAACATAAAATAATGTAACAGCTTTGTTCAACAGTTTTTTAAATATTGCATTACTTTTAATGTGGATTATTTAATACCATTAATATTTGTAATCTTTTCATTATTATTATTATTATTGTTTGTTTTTATATTTTAGTAGTATTAGTAATAATAATAAATAATAATAATACATTTCACGATAACATTTAAAAAAATAATATCCACCCAAAGGCTACATTTAGAATAGCATACTACCATATTTTCTATGATATAAAAGGTTGAAACGGTATAAACATTAAATAAGTTGTTTTAAAGGGGTCATATGATGCTTTTTTAAAGATCATTATTTTGTGTACTTGGTGTAACAGAATATGTTGACATGCTTTAATGTCAACATACAAACACATTATTTTTCAAATACTGTACATTATTGTAGGTCCTCTATGCCCCGCCTCTCTCAAACGCTTCGTTTTCTACAAAGTCCCTCCTTCCGACAAGCGCAGTCTGCTCTGATTGGCCAGCTGACCCAGTGCATTGTGATTGGCCGAACACCGCAAGCACTCATCATAAATGTAACGCCCCTTACCATAATCGCGAGCTTCATCACTGCACGCACTGCACGCACTGCATGAAACTGTCGTCCATAAAATGCATTGCTGTTCTGTTGTAAGTGATCTTAAAGATTCCTAAATGCATCTACTTTCGGAAGGCCAAATAAAGTGCTTTTGCTTTCACCTAGAAACACACAGCGTCTCCCTGACATGCTGCTTCAACACTAACTGCGGTTACTGAAACCACGCCTTCTTTCTTTGCGTGCACATTTGGGCCGCATTATGCAAATATTTCCACATAGTGAGGTAGATATGTGGGGGCGTGTTAGAACGAGCCGTTTTAGGGGGGCGTGGCAGAGTCTTAACTTTGATAAAGAATATCTCTTTGGTTTTGAGACTTTAGTCTTTGCAACTTCAGGGATCTTATCTATGCACAATCAGCTTGAAACACTCCAAAGAGAATTTGGAAAATTTGCATCATATGACCCCTTTAAAAAAATAAACCTAAATACAGAGATTACATTTTTAATCTTTTGTTAACTAGATTTTAAAAAGATAAAAAAATGTTCATCTGTGTTCATACTATTATAATAATTTACAATGTGTGTGTGTGTGTGTGTGTGTGTGTGTGTGTGTGTAAATCAGTTTGTCATTTTAGCATTTCAACTTATTTTATTTCATTTCAAATTTTTGTCTAAGACTTATATTTTATTTGAATTAAAACCATTTTGACACATACCTTACGGATAACTTTCTGATCTTTTCTGCACTTTTCTGAGTCCACACTATCATCACTCTGATCATCATCATCATC